TCTTAGTTTTCTAGAAATGACATAGAAGGTTTTTGGGTTTCTTACCCGCCTCCTGGAAAGCATATAGCTCGAAATGTTCAAAAAATGAATCTAAGTCGTGAATATTCGCTGACTGTCTAATGTTGTTGATTAATAAGTGAAATTGCTTTTGAGCAAATTCATGCAAAGTAGAATATACTTTATGTGTCTGTTCAATAAAATGTTTTTTTGTAGTTATTGATAAGCATAACGATGACATGAGAGTACTAATTGCTTCATAGCCAAGACCAGTTGCAGCAGATACAGCATACAAACGTGCATTCGGTTCTTGCACTGTCGATTCAATTGGATATTTAGGTGATGGCAGTGTGCCATTAACTATTTTCATACACACAGTGACAATTTCATTGCTTTTGTTTGGAAAATATTTGAAATAAACGCATAGTAGTACAATTTAATTTAAGATCATTTTTTTAAAAACATATATTGAAAATTATCAAGTTCAATGATTAAAAGTACGTAATAGCTCATGCTTTAAAGTACGTAGTTCGAAAATTATTGCTGCGACTTGAGATTTATCGATGCTTCTGCGAAGTCTGTTCAAGTTTTCTCTAACTGTTGTAAAAATTAAGTTAACATGCAAAATAGAATAAAAGTGTGAGATCCTCTTTAATGTAGAGGCCTGAGGATAACAACCATCAGGAAAAAAAACACTTTGATTTCGGGTAGCTCGACCCAGTGCATACCTAATATACATAAATTTTCGAACTACGTACTTTAAAGCATCAGCTATCAGACCAAACCTAACACTCTGCTCAACAAGTCTCTTCAGGGTTTAATGATGAATTCGAAATTAGCGATTCAAACTTGCGGGCTACTTTCAGTCAGGCCACAGAATTTCAATCGTTAAGCTGTATGTAGAGGAATTAAACGTCTAGGAATTCAAAAGAGAAAGAATGTCTTGGGAGCGCCATAAACCTTCGACTTAGCATCAACTGCATTGATGTGTGAATAATGTTAGCCATTTTGCCTTCTAATTACCCAATGTAAGAAGAACAATAATATTTAGAAGATTACCCACAATACCGATGACAATAAGTACAGGAAAACCAACTGCGAACGTTAAATATTGAGTAACTAGTTGAAGTTGATGAATACTAGTGTCATTCGAAATCATGTATGTACGCCAATATGACTTTCGCCAACTAGACGTCGGCCAATTGTTGTTCACTTGACTTTCGCCAATTGGCGAGTGACCAGCATTTTCGACTATGAATCTGACGGCATGCTGATCGGTGCTATCGATACATAAAATGATACTGATAGAAAAATACATTGTCAAAAATCTCTCTTTGTTCATGAGCTTTTACTTCTTTTAGTTTCATTAAATTTACTTGACATGCACCGATGTGACGCCTTGAATGAGAAAAAAACTTTCGAAGTACAATTGCTAACGTTCTATGTAATTACCGTGGCTCAAAGACAAAGCTGGAAAGTCATGGAAGAATTGCTTTTCACTGCATTGATCCATTGAGAAAAAGTGTCTCAGTGCATGTCTGATAATGCGCCATATTCTTGTATTCATAACATAGAATTGTATTGTTGACTGAATGTTGATCGAGTGACATATGAATGACCGTACAATATTGTTTCTTTATTAAGATTTTGTAACCGAGCCCGAGCTTCTTGCTGTTGTGCAACACTTACAATTGGAAATGTATGAAACGGTTCCTGAGCCGATTTTGATGAGTATTCATATAACATTTCTCTTTTGGGTCAAAATGAAGAGAAACAGGTAGAAAACGAAGTCAACGGGCACAGATGTTTGATGATTACGGACACAAAAAGGTGTTCGTCTGAAAGTCGAATACGAAAATGAAAAATCATAAGATGAAGCCAAAGAAAAAAATGTAAGTGTACCTTTGATCTCTATAGCTGAACTATAATTTCTCGTTTCTTGCTTATACACTGTAGAATTGCCATTTAGGGTGATCTCGCTGGTGTAACTAAGCAACAAAAGAGGACTATACTTGCTCAAAGTTCACTCAGAAAACCAAGCGAAGTCTACTTATATACTCTAAAAAAGCTTTCAATCAATCATGTTAGACCCTGTCTTTTCTTCGAAAAAATTACGCCAGTTCCAAAGCGCTACACTGAATGAGAATAACCGCTACTTACTTAGCGCCAACCATAAAAGTAATTATCTTTGCAACCGTTATATGTGTAAAGATTCACGAAATGTGTAACTAATATTCATAACTCATTTCCCAAAATTTCAGCCCGACCCGTCTGGCGGAAAAGAAGTCGATTTTTCAACCTCTCTCATAATGTCAACAATTGAATGAGCTTCCTTTCAGCTTGTCTCGTTTTTTTCGTCGTTATTTCTGTGTTTACCCACACCAATATGAACAAGACGTTGTGAAATAACAGCTTCTGTGTTTTACAGACAATGTATAAAGCGCGAAACATTTGTATAGCTATTAACAACTCGTTGCATGAAACGATTCTGAGCTATAGATAGAAAATATGGGATGCAGAAATTCGATGTAATGTTTCCAGATTACGTACCCTTAGCCACCTTATTTGTTCGCCAGCTCATAGTATTAACAGACCAATTTTCTGGGGAAAATATTTTTCACCATTCATTTTCAAAGTATTGTACAAATGGATTTAATTTTGGCAACTTTTTAACTTGTTTGTTTAAAATTCTAAATGCATCACCAATCAACTTTTCGACTAACAAAGCCAAACCCATAAATGAACCGTAACAAGTTTCCGCAACGTTCATAATTTCCGTATGTTTTTACCAGTCCAACCCAAGCAAAATAACCCAACTTTTTGGGTTATTTTGCTTGGGAAGTTTCTGTATATATCGAAAACAGATTTGAGTAAAGTGAAACCAACATTCAGTGACTTGTTTGCGATGGTAACTATAACAAGGGACGATAGCTATAATATTCCTGTGATATGTTTACTCACCGTTGTGTTGGCGGCATTCATAAAGTAACGTTCAAAATTACAGACAGTACGTTGTGATTTTAGTTCTTGACCACGCTGATCAGCTAATTTATGAAGTCGTTCGAAAATAGCTTCATATGTTTCATGTATTCTGTTCGATGTCAGCGTGAAACAAGCAGGAATAGCTGCAACAGAAAAAGAGAAGTGGCAGTTTCAACTATCAAAAATCGTGTACAACACCTTCTCCACTTTCAAGCCTCAAAATCACGTACAATTGTTTGCAACTGAAATACTGCTACCTTTTCTGTGTACGGGTGTGACGATCACCACTTTCCACTGCTATAGAAAAATTCCAATTTTTATAAATTTGAAGACTTAAAGTGAAAATTATGTTGAATAAATGGAAATTAACTTAAAAAAATATCTGTGCTAAAATTCTAGAATAAGAAAGCATGTTTCCATGCACCGTAAGTTTTTCGAAACTTGAGAGAAAATCGAAGCTATTTTTGCACAGGTTCTTTAATTGCTCGTTCCAATAGCGCAAGAGTGATGTCACTAACTCTCGTGATTTTCGAAGGACGAAACTGACGCCGTAGACGACAAGTCAGTCATACATTTTTCGACTATGAAAAAACACTATGGTCCTCGATCGAGTTTTCTGACTTCATCTAAATAACAGAACTCACCAAGTTCGACGAATTTCTTCAGAGGTTTTTCGGTTTATGCCATCTTTTACCCTAGTTCCTTAAACTCACGCTTGACACAATCCTCAATATTAGTTCGGCGTATTTCACCGCTTTTCGTCTATTTTTAAGTTTTGATTAATAGATATTATTATTTAATGTAGTTTTTGTTAAATGTAATCCAAAACCATCAGTTTTGAGTGCACGTACATCTATTGAAATTAGATTTACTGATTTATGTGTTAGTTGAAACATCTGATATTAAATTAGATAAATAGTTTGTCAAGATCTTATCGTTTTATACATCTACATCCTTTATCCTTTCTATAAACCACCTTAGACTACAATGTCTTGAACCCTCACTCTCATCACCGCCCTTCAAAATACAGGAAAACAAAAGAAAGCTATTTTATGCACATACTTTGATGAGCACAACTGCATATTAAGCTACTACTGAAATAGACATCAGTTTATCTTTTGCACTTGAAAGAAAGCATGACGTTAGAATATGCTATGACTTTGCGTATCTCATTCTTTTAAAATAACGTTCGAAATTGTACAAGTAACATTAAAATCCAAGCGAGAACACAAGCAGTAGAGTACATATAACCAACTACTGAATACGAAGACCATTTCCACTACATTTCGGGTATTGTAAATTAACACCTGATATATATCGACTATCCTCACTTAATCTAAAACGATTTAATGTACCCAAATTAACAAATGTTGTTTGATAACCACTTTTGTCTTGTGGCATATTAATTGAGAATGTATAGGTAGTAGAATTTATTTGACTTGCGCATGGACGACCAGCCAAACCTGTTGTGATTATTAACTGGTTATAAGGACCAAAATAAGTTATTTTTGCTTGCTCAGCAAAACAACAACATTCATCTGTTGCACAACTATCATCAATTTTGTATGTACCCACCCAGTTGGGAGGCAATGATGTTGTGGTAGAAGTTAATAATAGGAATAATAATAATAAAAATAATAATGATGATGATGACATGATTTTATTGTTAATATGCAAGAAATTGAAGCAGTATTTATATTGGTAAATTTAAGAAATCTGTCTTTATTATTATATTTTTCTCATCAATGTATGTGTATATGTCAATATGAAAACTATGTCGACTAAGTCAGTATCTTTCGATGGAGGTGATAACATAAAATTTTTTCTTATTATAACAACATATTTTTCAGATATATTCTATTTTCTTTACAAAATTTATTAAAGATTATATTAATTTATATATTAAGATTATATTAAAGATTATATTAATTTATATATTAAGATTATATTAAAGATTATTTTTAATTTAGATGAATGATATACAGTGGGCATATTGAGTTTGTCTGGCAGACATCCGAATTTTTTGCATTATACTCTCTTGTCTACTCTAATAATCAACATTTATTGATAAGTTATGAAACAACATTTGTACACAGTTCAAGTAGTACACCTTTACAAGAGCTACCGAAAGAGATAAGAACACGTTCTGGAATATGGATTGAATTTCACACTTATATTCGAAAATATTCGCTATTATATCTAAAACGAAATGATTTCTTTTTAGATTTTATGAATTTATTTATCTGTGCAGAAAATTAATCCGAATTGAAAAATAACGAAATACTGAACAACCTTGAATCAATAAAAAATCATTGCAAAGATTACCATTCAAAAATAAATAACGATAATACTAAAGATAGTAACGAAATACAGTATTTATATGAAGTATTAGTTGATTTTCCATTCGCGATTAGGCATGCACCAATACCAATCGTTGTTGAACATATTGTACAGTATTGCTGACTGTCCAATAATATTGGGTCCCAATATTATTGTACACCGAATATATTGGGACCAATGTTATTGGTCACTCAATAATATTGTACAATAATATGGGTAATATTGGATTCCACAATACACAACACACCATAAAACTGATTAACGACAATGAGAAATTCCATCATGATGTAGTTTTCACTGATCATTTCGTTAAATTCTATACATATAATGTGTATGCGCTGTCGAATCTCCATCCTTTGATCAAGTTCCCGACCCAAATGGATGTAAGAATGTTGTGAAATTGTACGGTAGAATTATTTGACCTGGGTGTAATTTTGTTTTGCATATTCAGCTTGCTTTTCAGCTTAACAGTTGAGTAGAATCACT